AATCATCATTATCGTCGAGGTAGTAGTACTGCTGATTCTTCCGGAAGTAGAACTCCAGCAGATCGAGCGGTATGCGACCGTGTACTACTGCATGTTTCAATCGTTCAGCTCTACGGGAAATCAGATACCAGGAGATAAAAACACAGGACATGTCGCACATTGACTTGAATTCTTCTTTAAGCAAGAGTAAGAGAATGTCAAGCTGCTGGACTGCGGCCGTAAGGTATGCGCGCACGTCGCCATCTGCCATCATAAAAGGTATGAAACGAGTTACCATAAAGAGTACGAGTTTACATACCATGTAGACCCTCATGCGCATGCCCGAGCGCTTTCGCACTTTGTACGATGCCATCCTCTTTGTTATCTTCCAAGGCCTTACGTGCGTCACCGGTGCGACTGTCCAACGAATCTAGCACCAAAAGCAGCTCATCGATATGAACTTGTGGATCTTGGCTCAAGCATTCACCCCCCACGATAGAGCTGCAGAAGATAATGATTCATCATCTGATAAACTGAGTGCTTAAACACACCGTACCGTAAGCAGGCGAGTAAAATGGGACTAAAATCACTGAAAACCAGTTTTGGTTTCTCTACATACTGGTACATCAATTGCAGCTATGTAGTGCCTGAGGGCGCACCTTCATCTGTCTTCCGTCGAACGTTTAAGTAGAAATAAGTAGGCTCCTGGGTGGCTGCACGGGGAGTCTGTTCGATGTATTCGTAGGGTTTCCAGCAATCATGAAGGTAGTTCCTAGAATTAATCAATAAAGATTGCCAGATTACTTTGATTGGAGAGTGTGAACCATTGCTGCCACCTTCGAAGGAAGCCATTCTCTTGTCTCTCGGTTATGCCAGACTTGCATTCTTCGAGCGTCACAGGCCCTGACGTGCCGTTGACTGGAGGCGGCACCTTGATTACAGGTGAAGGCATGTCCACAGCGGGAGGTGAGGAAGTTGTCGATGTTCCGGGAAGTGGCTCTCTAATCGGTAGCGGGGACTCGGTGGTATCGGCGGAGGGGATAACTTGCACGAGTGATTCCTGTATGCTAGACTTTTTCAGACACGTCAAAAGAGAAAGCTGTTTATCAAAGCGTTAGATCGAAAGGTATTTTCCATCACTTTATACTCTCATGTCAACGCCGTCGGATTTGTCAGTTTGGAGTTTGATGGTGTCGTGTGCAGTCGTGTGACTCACAGATAAATCTAGTGGGGGTTTACTGGGAAGCATCGACCCTCACTTGTAAGCACATGGCGTATTGCCGCATCTGTACGTGAGTGCCGCATTTTCTGTTCGAGATGCCAAGATACAAAAACTGGCGATACGAGCCTCACTAGCACAGGAATGCTTCATTTGCCAAGGCACTTGTCATTCTGTGATATGGGGCACCAGTCATAGATATTCTTGGGAGCCATACAAAATGTTATCAAGGGTTTGGGGCGTTGCCAAGGCTCGGAGCTTACAATTTGAGCTTTGATCAATGAAGCCAGGACCAAGCCAGGACAACATGTGAGAAAGTAGCTCGACGCGCTCTGCGACAAACACGGCCTGACCAGTTATATTGCTCAGACCTGTGCGAGAGGCGCGCACGGTCCAACGGCCAGTATTGCATCTAACTTAGTCGTACCATAGTACTAGTACTAATAAGAGCTCGGAGGCCCAGATCCGGATCGGTTTAGGCGCGTGCGTGCGGGATTTTCGGGTCCCTGAGTGTGCTACTGAGTCTTTGAAGTACTGACTGACCAATAGACTGTTGGAGTGTCGGTATATTAATATTTAGGATGTTTATATCACTAGCCTGAGCACAGCGGTAACATGAGCATATGTCTCAAAAAAAAAGAAAGAGGATGAATAATTCGGTAGGTTTACTGAAACGTGTACAGTGTCAGCATGTACGTGGTAGACGCCGCTCCGAAAAAAATCGTCCGCGCTCAGAGCTCAGCTGCCACTGGCAGCCAGTGGACACACGTGTGGTACCGCAGCTGCACGATTCCAGGAACCGGCACCCGTGTCAGCCATCAAGTTCGAGAACATGCCATTCTTCAAAGACAAGGCAGAACATTTTGCACAAATAGATTAATTGCGTAAGTAGCCTATTGCGTGCACCGTTCCAGTCGGTAACACATCAAACCAAAGCTTCAGCGCAGAATCTCGTGTATCATTAGCCTAGGGCATATTCGGTATTAAACCTAAAATACAATGAAATACCACCCAAAATATCGTCACTGAATCTTCCTTCTCTGAGCTTCCTCTAACACACTCTTCGGTCCGCGCTTCGCCATCGCCCAAAGAAAGATGACCACAACGATAGCGAACTGAAACCACAACCACAGCTCTAAGACGAACGATACGAACCGTCGCTTCTGGGGTTTCTGAAGTCGCTGACGAAGGGAGGCTGGCGATGCAGAAGCTGTCCTTGGCTCATCATCTGTGAGACCGCGGGAAAGGGAATAAGTGCGATGGCGGCTTATGCTATCCACGAACTCGTTTACGAGTCTTTGAGGAACTGGAGTGGGGGGACGGGCGAGATCAGCAGAGCTCCCCCGCTGCGGAGCAGAGAGAAGTGTTGCTTCAAAGCGACCTTCAGTCCAGTGGTTTGTGCGCATGCGAATGGTGTGCGACTTGCGGTACTTCTTGTCTGCAAGTGTTTCCACGTGCGCATTGGGCGGACTATACGTCAGGGGCCCAAGATCATGAACACCGTCTATTTTCAAGCTAACTTGCTCCGCAAACGAGGTGGAAGATGTGGAGGGAGCTGATATATAACTAGACGACGGAGGAAAGGACAGCTTGTCTTTCGGGGAAGGTGTCCCTGAATCCGGAACGCCGACGGCGTTGCCAGCGGATAAAGGAGAAAGCGATGTAAGATCGATTAAACTTGGTGTGCGGAAGTGGTCGTTCTCATGACAGTTGTCCCATGCAAGCCCTAGCTCATTGTCAAGAGTCTGGGGGGACGTGAAGTCTGTAGTAGGTAATGCCGCAGCTAGAGGTGATGGCAAGTCCAATTCTTCGGGGGTCACAGGTTCCGTAATGGGCTGAGGGACAAAAGGGACGGCCGATAGACCAGGGATAATCAGCGATTGTACAGACGGTGCATCACTAACATCAGATACAGTCGGGGAGTCAAATAATCCAACAACAGATCGACGCGTGCGATGATGTGCAGGTAAAGGGAAGAGTTCTGGAAGGATTGCGTGCCGCATGCTGCTCTGTTTGTCTGGTTCGATGCCGCTATCAAAATCAACCGAGGAATCCGCGAGCATAGACCGACGGAGACTGGCGAAACGAATTGTCTCGTCTTCCTCATCATGTTCATTTTCCTCATGGACACCGGGATTCTCGAAGCTGTCATCTTCAGCCAGCCAGTCGATGGCATCGACATCACTAAGGCTCTCATATAGGAGCTGGATGCTTGCAGCGTCTCTTTGAACCGACTGAAGCGATGCCGTCGTTTTTTCTTGCTGCACCGTTATTTGTGAATTAATCTGTTCAAGCTCACGGATCTTTTGAAGGAGCTGCGACACGAGCGCATATTCAGGCGTTGCCGGGACTGGCAACTGAGCGGGGGAAGGAGACTGTAACTGGGGGAATGATCGAGAGGAACCGTTGTATAAAGACATCTTTCTTGAAAGCTTGCTGTCCGTAGGGGCCGAACGAAAGATGGCTTCAGAAGCATGCCGGCGTAGACACTGCGATGGACGCTTGCGTTTCTCTGACCTGCCTAGCGCGGTAGATCTCTTCGAGATCCCTTGAGATGCAAGAGCCCCCCCTGGCGCAAAGTCCCGTACTTCTCCGTCATTCGCATCGCTCTCGCTCCTGCCCCGTAGGGCACGAACTCGTTCCTCTCTCTCATGTCGCCTCTTTGACGCTTCCTCAGATTCGAGGCTGGGACTAACAAGTTTTGCCTTGTTCTCGAGCTCGTCGCTCCTGGCACGAGTTGTTTCGAGCTCCTCTCGGAGTCCGTGAATCTCTTTCTCCAAACAGCGCAATTTTCGCCGTCCCGCTTGATCAGTCTGAACAGATTCAGATTCAAGCTTTTCTAGCTTAGCAAGGAGTTCAGCATTCTGATCGGAAAGTAGAGCAAGGTCCGCAGGGGAGACAGAAACGCGTCTGTGCGACCGGCGCGAGCGAGACGCACTGGTGCTCGCGTGGGAGGAAGAGGTATTGGTATAATAATGGGGGGAGTGTGGAAGAGGTGTTCCGGGAGTAGTTGGAGAGGATGCCGAGGATCCGGATGGAGAGACAGACGCTGATGGAGTGGGCAAGCGAGCGAGAAGCACCTTGTGCTTGTTCTGGAGCTCTAGATTATTTTCATACAATGATTTACAGACAGCCGTGGTGAAACTGAGTTCTACACAGGGACGACGATTTGAGTACATTTCTCTAGAATGAAGCATCAAAGGACACACCATTTTCTCGGTCTTTAATGAGCTCATCAGCTTTCAGGAGGAGCTCAGATAGCTCCTCACGAGACCTCCCATTCCAATCTTGAGGATGATTAGTAGGGATGTCATCCCATGCAGCGATTGCAGATGCGCCGTTGAAAGACTTTCGTTTCAGATCCGAGGAGTTATCCAGTGGGTCATCAAGAAGCGATGTGGCAGCGTACGGAGGAGGTGGGGAAGTTTTGACGTGGGTAGAAATTCTTCGTACCCGACCTGGTGGTCGTGGCCGAGGAGTAGTCGTCACTGACGCAGACAGCATATGAGACAACTCAGAAGGTAGACGCAGATAACAGATATAGCGGTCAAACAGATGAAGGGTCAGTCAACGCTCGGGTAGGATCCTCGTTAGCTGGTGCTTAGCACTGGTGATAGAGCGAAAAGAGAAAAGGAGACTCAATGATACGTTCTGTGACGTTTCGTGTCTCATACATATGAGACTTGTATGAAACAGTAAAAGTTCGGCTTAAAATTATCATTTACATTAAGACCGCGTTATGAAGTTGCAGCCACTCTACTACGTGTCATCCATGTGTAGCATAAATGAAGTGCTTCAGCAAGGCCGCCTGGCGAAATGGCATCGCGTCTGACTACGACTGTGTAATCAGGAGATTGCAGGTTCGACCCCTGCGGTGGTCATAACGTTTTCGTGTATTTCGCAGGTTCGACCCCTGCGGTGGTCGTAACGTTTTCGTGTATTTTGGGATACAGTTATCTCCTTTTGATCCGTGTAGCGTTGAAAATTCGAAAAATAACCGCATGAGACAATTGTCTGACTCCTGGAATTCGTGGAGGCTGCCAGCTTAAATTTAAGTTACATCGTTTGACACGGCAACATAAGAAACTTTGAAGTCCATCTCACAGTCGATGATACTTTTAAATTACTATGCACGAAGTCACTTTCCAAGGAAGCCACGACTAATATTAATTCAATGCAGCATGAATGATAAGAATAACAACACATGTCGATGTCTGGTGAGTTTGAACTGAAATATCAAACTATCAAATGTGACAGCGGCGCTCCGCGTTACTTGATGCATCGCATATTTACACACCAGGGTCTAATTCGCCCAACAGCATAGTTCCGTCCTTGCTGCCAGTAAGGACTGTAGACACGTCAGTAGAAATCAACCAGACAGAAGGGAAATCTTACTAATAGGTTCTTTTGGGTGGAAGTCTACACAAGTGACTGTGCCCCTGTGCCCCGGCAGCTAAAAGATGGTAAGTCACACTGGCACGCAAGAAGTCGAATGGGATAACACTAACCTTGTACAACACACGCCCACTGTCGACGTCCCAAACACACACCATCCGATCCGCACCACCAACCGCAACCCGTTGTCCCCCATCATCCTTGCTCCATGCACCTTTCAAAAGCGTGTTCTCGAAACCAGCTGGAGCACCCTGCAACACACGGTGTATCCTCGTTGGCGAAGGCGAAAACGGGCGTACATCATGAATGACGGTATGAGATGAAAACGAAGGCGAGAGGAGGTAGGCACCATTGGGTGATAATGCAAGCGACGTCGGCGTGTCCGTATGACCAGTCAGAGCATAAACCTGCTCGCCCTTGCGCAAGTCATATACATGAATCTCGTTGTCTAGCGCGCCGATATAGAGGTTCTGCCCATCCGCGCTCCACGCGACACTCGTCGCTGGACATCCGAGTTCAAACACTGCAACACTGCTCTTCGAACCATCTTCTCCACCCTCCCACACACGAACGGTTCCATCGTCCGAGGCGGTGGCAATGAGCTCGATACCAGCACCGCCTGCCATAGTCCGGTCCAGCGCGTTTATGATTCCGCGATGAGCACGAATTTTTCTTGTTCGCTGGCCGGTAGTAACGTCCGTAAAGGACAGAATTTGGTCTGCGGATACGGTATAAAGGAGCGGTGAGAAGAGGGACCATTGAAGGTCAAGGATGGGCGCTTTATGGTGGCTAGAGAGGAGGCCGTAGTTGGTATTTGGTGGATACGTCCTCCACAAAGCTATACCTCACTTGTAAACAGTTCGCATAAAACACTCAGAGATGTCACGTACAGACGCTTCGGTCCGCTGAACAAGCAGCAATGTTTTGCCCAGTAGGGTCAAATCTACAGCTCAGAATTTCCGCCTTCGAACCCATTAATACACCATCCTAAACAAAAACTGTTTACAAGTCTCACCGAGTGAGATCCGCTCAAGCTAACGATAGGTGCTTCTAGGTTGCTTGTGCGCTTGACGCTTCGTATGAGACCTTTCTGTCGGTCATCGTTGCCAGATGAAATGATGATTTGGTTTTGAGCAGGAGAGTTCGAGCGCGCTCTTTTAATGAGAGTTCCTTCTGTAGATGGCGGTGGAGATGCGCCTCGTTTTGACATCGTGACCGGGTGCGGATGCTGTGAGTTCGAGATGTAGACTCGTCAGTGAATGAAGTTCAAGGTCTCGAAGACAAGAGTAGTCACGTGATTTCTTGTTTTACAATAAAGCAGCGATGGAAATATCTACAAGTATCTATGTCAGATCTAGGGACTACTCCAAGAACTTTCTAATATGGATCAGAAAGGTCCAGGTCTCCTCAAAGAGCGAAAATATACAACGATCGCTCTAGTATATATGCCTGCGCTGCTCAGCCGCCCACCTCACAGCATCACTGCGCCCCTTCGTGACATCAACCCCAAACCAAATCACCACAGAGGCAACCGTGCACATCGCAAACAGGAAGGGAAACCCCTGCCAGTTGTTTCCCGTCTTGTCGATGATGACCTGTATGACATTGGGCCCCACCATGGAAGAGGCGCGGTTGAACAGACCGAACAGACCGAAGAACTAGTTAATGTGAGTGAACGCGATGGGAACGAGAAAAGTGAATTACACACCATGTTTTCAAAACCTGGTGGACTAAGTTCGGCCATCATTGTCAGAGAGTACGCGTAATAGGGCGCCTGGAAGAGACCAAACATCACGTTGTACGCCCTGATGAGAATATAAAAACACAACGAGACAGGCGCATAGTCTTGACAAACCAGAACTCCCATACGTTGTGGAACCTAATGCACTCCTTAGAGGGATGATGATATCATGAAACAAATCGAATAACACCGACCCGAGTTTTTTTGTCCATATTCCGATCATACCCCATAGCGGAATCAAAATCGTCACGACATTTGTGACCACAAACTGTGTCATTGACAATCAAATAAAGATAGCATGACAAGGTAGCGATACATACCATCTTCTTTGTGCTGATCTTCCAATATTTCTGGATGTACCAAAAGGCGAGAGTGCTGATTGTCGAAGTGATTGCCTGAGACAAGCCCAGGTATGTATTTTGTAGGAACGAGAAACTGAACTTGTCGTTCTGACATATGCCAACAAGGGTTCCAGTAGTATTGAGCCCCTGTCCAAAAATACGTCAGGTGCGGCTTGAGATAAGGACAAACAAACAGTACGTCTGCAAGAAGAAAGTAGGAGGACAGATACACAAAGGTGTAGGGAAGATGCTTGTATGTTTTCAGCGCAGCCCAGATCTAACGTTTGCGTGAGCAAAGTTCACGGTATCCCGCTAGATGCTTACCTGCTTCCATCCAATTGTCAAGTAATGTTCACCCTTAGGCAATTCGGGGCCTGGCCTAGATTCCTGGAAGACAACTCAAAGGTTCTCAGCAGGAAGCCCAGAAAGACCGGCCAATGTGTACTCACACCACCAGATACCTAATACCACCCAATATGTGTTGACACTACATATCAATTAATACAACGACTGGAACTTGCAAACGATAGAAACTCACACCACGATCACATAATTGTCTACCTTAGTGTTGTTCGCCATCGGCAGCAAAAGCGCTAAGTTCAGCAATAATGTGGTTACAAACCCGACATTGCTATGAACCTGTACAAAGATAGTCAGCCCGCGACAACACGAAGCCTTACACAAGACGCACGGTGAAAATATCGGTAATCCTATTCTTTTCCAACGATTCCTCTTGATCGTAAACTTCAGGAGAAATCTCGCCGTTTTCATACTTCTCTCTCAACTGGCGTACACGTGGTGTGTTTCGCGCGAGACGAGGGAATAAAGCAGCATAGAAGACTAGAGTAATACTGTATGAGACGAAACTGACGATGGACATAATCATCGCAAGGACCCATCGATTTGGTGCTGGTGAACGAAATGATCAGACTTTAGAAAACGCGTGGTACCCGGAAACTCACTGGTAAGTGTCATACAAGCATACTGTGCAGCCCAACATACTACTGTAATAGCGAACAACAACCACCGTCCGAATGTACCATAGTCAGCAGCAGAACCGATAGTAGTTAATGTAACTGTCATGATAGCGAAACTGATACCATCTACAGTCAGCACCACACTGGAAACTGACTTTGTTCCGCTACCCCAGGGAACTACGCATTGACCAGAAGCAGTCGTTGCAAGGCATGACGAGCCGGGGCCTACGACGGGATCATATCCCGCCGCTGTGGCGAGCCCTTGGAACAGGGTCTGTGTATAGCCCAAACCGACACCCTGGAGGCACGTGAGATAAGTAGAGTGGGGGATACGCAAATACCCGGACTGACTCACGTTACCACCGTTAGAGTACACTGATATTTAGCTTAATCAAGGAATGGTGGGAAGGAAGCGCGTGTATTGGAACGCACAGTAATAGCTTAACAACTCCCTTCTGGTCACGGGCGGTTCATCCAAGCTGATCGATGAGATAGCAATGTGGTTCGCGTCGTCAGACCTGATATCCACAACCTGTTTTACATCAGCGTGGAAGGGACGGGCTAAGTCTTCCGAAGGAGGTATCGTGGACATGGCGGTCGAGAATGAGCTTGTAGACCGAACAAAGATGCGTGATTGGCCATATCACATGTGTGCTCCAAACCTCTCTTTCGCATTTACTAATGGTTACGCGCGTACCTTATGGGGCAAAGGCTGAGCTAGTGTTGTAGGGCTATTTTGAAGCAGTTCTGCCGGCAGAACTGGCAAAATTCCTCGGCAGAACTATGTTTTGCCAGGTGGCAGAATTTGCATTGGTGTAAGACCAGTCCAAGTCTTTGCATCGTGGTTCGGTGACTGTTGGCACTAGTCCCTCGTCAACCGCGTGGTGGTTTCGCAAAGTCGAATGCTCCCTCTTCTAATACTTCTGTCCCTTTTACGATGTACATCCCAGTCCAAGGCAAATGCTCGGTGCATCGATATTTACCCATTACAAACGTCTTCTAGTCAAATGAACTCAACATGTTGTCAAGCGAGATAGATTCCGGACCTTCAAGATGGCATGGAGTCGCTGGAGACTGGCAACTTGCGAGTGGTGGAAAACATACTTGGCAACTTCGGTATTACGGCCCGGCCAGAATTAAAGCCGCATTTGTTTTCTAGCAAACCTATTATCTTTCGTCATGCTTTCGATATAGAAATTGGACATCAAAAGTATAGACCGACATAACCCAAATTATCAGGCCAGTTTGAAAACATTGATATCCAAAGTCGCTGTTAGTATTGAGTCGTACTCCGAATCCAAACACTGGGTATCGCGAAACTGCAGCAACGTCGGAAAGACGATCAGACGGCCTCCAGGCTCCCTTGAAGTGAATCGAACTTGGCTAATGTTGTATCTTGACATGACGGATATATCAGAAATCCCTGA